TTCTGTTTTAATGAATTATAAGAAACTAGTAAGATATCATCACTCTTGGATCCCAGAGGGCAGAAATTATTGTCCTAATAATAAAATCCAAATGTCACAAGGAAGAGATGAGCCAGTCAGGGTGCAGTATAGCACCAATGAAATGTACAACTTTCCTCTAGTTCTTTATTGCTTCACCCCCGACCCCCACCTCCAACTATCATGATTCCAATTCTACCTTACAAATGTGGCTAGGCCAGAGCATGTACACAGGTACAGATAAGTACTGGAAACACAGGGAAACCAGGACAGATGAACCCCTCAAGACCAATAATGAGAGTAGCGATACCAGGAGGAGAAGGGTAAGGTGGGGAGAAAGGAGGAACCGATCAGAATGATCTACATACAACACCCCCTCTGGGGGACAGACAACAGAAAAGTGGGTGAAGGGAGACATTAGTCAGTGTAAGACACGAAAAAATAACAATTTATAAATTATCAACAGTTTGGGAGGGAAGGAGGGTGGGGAAGGGAGGGAGGAAAATGAGCAACTGATATCAAGGGCTCAACTAGAAAGAAAATGTTTTGAAAATGATGGCAACATATGTACAAATGTGCTTGAAACAATGGATGGATATATGGATTGTGCTAAGGGCTGTAAGAGCCCCTAATAAAATGATTTTTTTTAAAGAAAGAAAAAACAAACAAAAATAATAAAATCCACTTACTGAGCTTATTTGTCAGGTTATGCTAGGCTTTCTACATACATTGTTTTAATATCTCAATAATCTTGGTAGGAAGTTACTTTAATCACTGTGATGAAGTAAAATTGGTTAAATATGGCTCTTCTATCTATATCTTTGTAACTCCCACCAAATGATTGGTCAGGACCTGGCAAATATAGTGTGGAAACATCAGTAAGGGGATTGGTCAGTTCTACTATTCCTGTGGGTCTAAGAGAGCCATCTCAAAAGCATAAAGAGAATCCGGTGATCATCCAGAAAGAAGAGCCACCAGACAAATACATGAGAGATCCCTGTCTGAAGTGGAAGAGGCTTCAGCCTCTTAACAGGCTAAGAGTAGCCTTACCGAGACCATGATGCAGAGCAGAGAACCAGCACCGGTATAATGAAGCAGAGGAGAGGGGCTACATAGAAACCAAGGAAGAGGCCCAGGGTCCACATGACTGAGAGGCTGAGGACCAGAGAGAGACATGTCTGTCAACATGGCTGAAAAAAGTGTTGCAGACAAAAGAACTGCATTCTTAACATGTTGTAACCTGTTTGCTTCCTGAATCAACCCCATCACTGTGAGTACTGTTTTTGAGTTCTGTGTGACCTGTGCTACAAACTGTGAAACTCAGAAGAGAAGCAGAGTGTCATGGGAGAGATGGTTGGAGTCAGAATATGGTAAAGAAGCATGGAGAGTCAAGGATTCCTCTTCTCCTTAGTTGTAGCCAAAAAAGGTCAGATGGTCCCCATCATGGCATGTTCTCCATCCACTCTAAGGGGAAGTGACTTCTAGGATATGCAGGACATGCAGACACACCAGGTGTCCATAGGCCACCACAGCCTTGGTTTTTTGCTGACCATGAGAAGCTGGTTTATGATTACTTGATTGGCAACCCCACTGAACTCAGACCAGCCTTATTAGACTGCCCTTATTCTTGAAGCTGGGAGTTTCTTCAAATCACTGCTGCCATATAGTGCACTCTAATGTCAAGAGTTGGAGTAAAATGAATAGTTTGTGACTGTAAACCGGGACTTCTCTTCTGCTAAGTGTCTCCGTGCCCGTTTAAGGAAGCTTCAGGAGAGAAACCTCTGTCCACGGGACCCCAGCACCACCATCTTGAGAAGTTAGGAGTTTCTAGCCTTTCAACATGGAAGGGACACAGAGCACAGTAGAGGTCAGATGCAATCACTCAAACTGTTACATTGCTATCATTGAATCAATGTTTACCCTTTTACACCAAGCAGCTGCCATGAATCTGCTCCCAGGGCACACGTGGTGCAGCTACCCCATGGACTAAGATATCCGAAGTTGAGAAACTAGAGTCTCTGCTGAAGCTGGAAAGAAAAGACACGAGACACAGCCCATCCTGCAGCTAAGGTGAAGATGTAGCGTTTGTTAAACTAGCAATAGATGCACAGTTGTCGACATGCCTTTCTCAGAGCCTCCTTTGTTGGACTCTGCCTAAAAACCCTTGCCTTTCCTCAGAAAGGAGGAAGATGGGGATATTGGACATCCTGGTCTGCTGTCGCCTTTCCCTGGATCAGGTACAATAAACTATTTTCCTCTTTCCCACCAGCTGTTTGGAGTGATTTGGGACTATTTCCTCTGGCCTCGGGGAGAGGGGTCCACCTTTGCATTAGCAGGCACACACCAGAGCTGATCCTCGGTCCAACATACATTTTGGTGCCTCAAATGTTAGACTTGTTTCAGTTTCAAATGTTGGCCCGCTGATGCCAAAATTGGCACCACCTTCCCCTAACCAGCTCTAGTTTTTGAGATCCAGTACACAGGCCATATACCATTCTTCACTCTGCTTGCCCATAGAAAAACCCCCAGGATATTTTAATATAGTACTAGCTAGGCTGAGATACAGGAAGGAAGTACACACTGGCTTTATTTAAAGTAATTTCTGTTGGACTAAATATTTAGCTAGACTACACCCAGTGCCTTTGATACAATGATACATGTGAACAGTGCAAATTCCATGAACATGGAATTTTCCCCAAGTACCACTTCACCTGCATTAGGAACTGAATAGCAAGCAGTTCCAATCTTAAAAAGGGGCCAGAAATAAGAGTCGCTGTACAGTAACTAAAAAGCCCTGTGGTGTAGTGCATTGTGTGCTGGACTGATGAACCGAAGGGCAGCTGTCTGAGCCCACCAGCTTCTCTGAAAGGCAAAGATGGGACTTTCAGCTCCTGTTAAGAAGTACGACTTCAGAAATCCACAGACATTCCATTCTGTCATCTAGGGTCACTATGAGTCATAACCGGATGCCTCGGAGTGAGTTTGGTACACTTAATAGAGATTCTAATGCTCTGAAACCCATCATGGGTTTGTCAGAGTTCAAAGTCCTTCACTAAAATTAAACATTTTTAGTCTCATTATAAGATGGCACAACTTCTCCACCTGTGCAGGAAATCTTAAAAGTTAGCATGTTTCTGATGTGGACTATTTAATATGAATTATACATGGATTTTCACAGATTAAACTGTTTTCTGGAATGTTTACTTCAGAATTTGAAGAAGAAAAAGTTAGATCTTCAAAATATCTGTGACACTTGCTATAAAGTTTTATAGTTTTGATACTAAATTGCCTTCACACCTTCCATATATGTGCCTGTCAGTTTTCCTCTCTTCTCATGCCGTGTTCTGGCTTTGCAATATCCAATGTGTGGTCTCTGTACAGACTGCAGTCTCCCAGACCAAAAAGAAAAATTTGCTGCCGTCTAGTCAATTCTAACTCAGTGACCCTATAAAACAGAGAAGACCTGCCTCTTTAAGTAGCCAAACCTTTAACTCTTTTAAAGGCTGCCAAGTGATTGGTGGGTTCAAATGACCTTGATTGGCAAATCAATGGGTAACCAGCTACCCAACGTGGGTTCTGATACTGCTTCCCTTGGAAGTTCCTTAATAATTAATTATTTTTCAATATTTCTGTGGGTCTGAATCATTCTCATATTTAAAGCTAGGGTGAGAAATTAATAAATTGGTTTAATTTAGTAGCTTAAAATATAGTTAGTGGAACACCATATCTAAGAACCTAGAGCTGATGTGGTCTAGTCACGATGCAATTTTTTGAACCAGCACCCCACATAGGCCCAGGAGCAGGCTTAAAAATCAAGACCCCAAGAAAGAAAATTTGGTTTTGTTCTCTGCTTATTCAGCCTGGTGTGTTGTGGATGCTTAAGAAAGTGTAGGGCTGTATAGTACTTTATGGATTAATTACAGCCTCATCGTTAGTTCTGTCATCTAGAGTTTTCCTTAGTGGTGTTTAGGTATGAAAGGATGTTCACCAAATGGTCCTGTCCTGCGGACTCATTATAGGAAGTTTTCTGATTACACAAAAGCAGGAACAAGCTTGAGGCGATGAAGATCTGGATTTAGAACAATATCCAGCCAATAGGTATCATATGCATTTATGAAATTTCCCAGATTAGTTACCTTGAGGATTATCAGATTACAATTTTCTTTCCTTGATTTTTTTTTAACTTTTAAAGGTATTTAAAGCAATCGAGTGCAAGTCTGGAATTGAGAACCATTTTTAATGTTTTGAACAAAAGTCCACTAGTGTAAAAACCAAATAAAAGACATAATGACTATTGGCTGACTTGAAATTCAGTATCTATTTACCAATGTGTTATTATCACAAAATTCAAGTGAAATAACTTTTTTCCCGTTCCAACTCAATCTTTATTTTATCACAAGGTTAGTGGTTTTATTCAAAAGAATTTAATAAGTCAATTTATCCTAAGCTTTATAGTACTCCACCATTTTCCTTAGAAGCTCAGTCAATATAAGCATTAAATGTCAGTATAAAATCTTTAAAAACACCTTAAGATGGGTTAAACAGTTATACGTTCCATCTCTTTGTAATCACTGAGCCTATGAAATCCAAAGCCCCAGAAATCCTTGTACTAGCAACAGTCAGAAGCCTGAACCTCCTAAAAAATATCCTTTGAGAGGTTAGTTGGGTAAGTCGTTTTCTCCAGCCCACAGTTTATTCCACAGCCCAGAGCAGGGGTCTGTGTGTGTTTGTTGGGGGGCGGGGAAGCAAACAGAAGGAAACAAAGACAAACGTATCAGCTCACCTGTGTCATTGGTAAAGCAGGTAGTGTAGCTAGAGGGTTAAGGGGTATTTACAGGAGTCTAAAGGGCAGAGAGACCGCGAGCACATGTTGTTCTGTTACAGCTAATAGCTCTGAGCCAAGTCCAGAGCAACTAACCACACCGACAGAAGGCAAAGCTATTTAAGAGAAGCAGCAACTCAGCAAGGCACAACCTTTGAAAGCCAGGAGCTAGACCAGCCTTTGCCTTAGAATTCTGTTGGTGGCTAGAAATTTACAGATAGATTAGATAGGGTGGAAGAACTAAAATTAGTTTAGAAATTCCCCACAGGGTGGAGGCTGAGCAGCGTTCTCCTTCTGACAGTTGGCCTGTGCACTTATAAGACACACTTAAAAAGGTTTTATTTATTTTTTGGGTCAGACTGAGATTTGTAGACTCCATTGGAAACCTAGACGGTAAGCATTGAATCACTGATTTATACTTTATACAATTCTACTCATAAAATTTGTACTCTGATTTCTCAAAGAAAAAAATCCTCTGCTAGAATCCTTGATACACTCTCAAATAATCTTATTTATTTTTCTGTATCATCTTCAAAGTAGTACAAAATTCGTGCGAGCTTTACTGAAGTGGGGAAAATCATTGACGTCAACAGCACACTGTAATTCATCTACTAGGGGGTGGTTATTTTGACTAATTAAAGTTAACCCTTTTATTCCTGACAAATTTATGGAAATGTTAAATCCAAGCCAAAAGTAATGTGAGGAAAACACATGTGGAAATGGACTTTGGACTTTGTTTTCTGTTAATTCTAGAGTGTCTTCTACTGCTGTTAGACTTTAAATATTTATTTAGAGACGTGAAAGTACCTATCACTGGAGCAAATTTTCTTTCTCTTTCATTTATGAAATATTTGTCTCAGAATAGAAAATCAATATACTTTTTTCCCTACATACTAAGAGGAAGTTTATTGTCTTAGTTTAGTTTGTTTAAATTCTTATTGCTTTCGTTGATGTTGATGTGGGCATGGTGTCCATTGGGTAGTGATATTGGAATGAAAGCATTAACATAATTAATGTGAGGTTCAGCACATTATGTGAAGCAAATAATACGATCCTAGATATGATACATATAGTTGTATCAATGGCATTTGCATTTCCCAAACACAAATTCCTTTAGCGTGTTCCAGGAGAAAAAAAGACCTCAAATTCAAATCTATTTATTTGGACTCCTTTATTAAGTCTTAGGACAAAGACAAATTATCCAGATACAGACGGTCATCAGCATGAGGCTATGATGGTTGCACTGACCTGCATGGTTTGCTTTTGTTTTGTCTCTGGCTGGTTTAAGACTTAATTAAGGGATCTCGATCGTGGATTACACATTGGGCTACCAACCACAAAGGCAGCATTTCAAAACCACCAGCTCTCTGTAGAAAAAAATGAGGCTTCCTACTGTGTAACCTGGCTGAGTTTGAGGACTAGAGAGAGACAAGGTGCTAGTATGGAGAAAAGGGTGGGTTGTATCCTTAATGTTTTTTGATCCAAACTTGTAATCTGTTAACATCTCGAGTAAATGCCATCATCGTGAGTATTGTCTGTGACCACTGCAGTAACTTATCGAGCCCAGCAGAGAAATAGAGTATCGTGGGGAGGATGGATGGTGTCAGAATAGGGTAAAGAAGGTTGGAGGATGGAGGTAGGTCTGACTGCTGCCTCAGAGGATGCATCCTTGGATGGATGTGGAGCTGAATTGTCTTCCCCTTGTGTAGTCGGAGGAGTTCAGATTCGTCTCCCTACACGGTTTACTCGGTGTTTTAAATAGACTGCATTAGTACCAATTTGAAATTTCAATGAGTACATTAAGACAGTGGGTTTCCTTTTGTATCGTTTAGTTTCCCTAAAAAACTTGTTTAATGCTGTGGTATATGTTTGAGGATCATTTTATTTGTCCCTTACTATTTGTTCCATCGGCAAATGCTTGGTCTGCCCTATTGTAAAGAGTAGATCTGGCTTTTCAGTTCTGTATGCAGAGGTTTTATGACCCAGAGAAAATTTGGGAAAATTGTACTCTGTTTTGGCATTTAATGGGGTGTTTGTGTGTGTATGTAATTCTATGCATGGAGGAGTGAATTATTTAATGTGTTTTCTCTAGCTGAAATCTCCAGCTGCTACCTAATGACCTATTTCTGCCTGAGCTTGAGTAAGAAGTTGGGGACTATGGTGATAGGATCGATTTGTTATGGTGCACCTCATTCTTTGGAATGCCATCCTTCTGGGTCTAAAATGCACCCTCTGAGAAGGAGAGGGGAATCTCACTAGCAGTGGAGCATGCTCTCTGGACTTGAGATCCATGTACAGTGAACCTCCCAGACCCAGAAGGCATCCGTGGCTTCAAAGGTGCAGCAGCAGAAGTAGGAGCCAGAACATAAAACAGAGTGGTGGACTTGCGGCCAACAGAGCATGTAAAACAGAGAGTGTGCTTTGGGGCATGAGACTGGCTTGCGGAGTGGGGTGCTTCAGAGCACTTAACTGGGAGAATTGGCCTTGTTGTCTGGAGGAGAGGGAGCCAAGTACCTCCAGGCTGAGGCTTAATGGCCTGGGTCCTCCAGGGCACTACATTCAGGGAGCTGGTTTGCTGCAGACTCAATGAGCTTGAACTGAATGCCTAGAACAATTGTGTTGTGAATTCCAACCTGGCACCTTCTGTACTGAACCATCTAATCCTTAATATTGTCTGTGAGTTCTGGGTAGCCATTGCAACAAATCTTAGAACCTAAATGAAAAAGTAGATAATATTATTTTAGACACCTCATTCCCTTTTCAAGGTGCTCTGTGTCGCGATGAGCTTGTGCACCCATTGGTATGAGCTGGTCAAAATTCTTTTGGTCAAAATTCTGAGACACCAAATGCACGGCTTCACTTTTGCTAAGTGTTGCCAGCTGACTTTGTGTGTGCATGTTGGGGGGAACTAGCAGATAGTCCAAGAATCTCATAGGAGAAATCATTACCAGTCCCTGCTTTGTTTTGAAGCACATGTTATTCATTGGTAATAAGGGAATGTTACCTCCAGATCTCAAGCAAGACATTGTTCCAGGGCACAAAATAAACCCCAGAGCTCAAATATGGTTTATGGAGAACAATTTATTAAGTCTCCCGACAAGCCAAACACAAGGCAAAAGGAAGAGACTCATCATCTGATTGAAGGTCCCCGTCAGTATGAGACCAGGATGGCATCCAAGGGTTTACAGAAGACTGGCCACCTAGATAGGATTGGGTGGGGTGGGGGCACAAGGAAACTGTTACAAAAGCAGGGTGGTGACAGATAAATGCATCGCGGTTGTAGGCAGAAGAAATAGAATGGCACCAGGACTGGAACAAGTACATTGTGTTAGATGAGTTTACAAGAGGGGTTCAAAGTCCTCTAACCAAGGCAGTCAAGACTTGACTTAAGACCTTGAGGCCCTAGCCACCCAAATTCCATCAAGGGCACCGCTAGAGCTATTCCATCCCTCCCTGGACTGCCTAGGGGTGTGGTAGTAATCCACTTTCTAAGTGCTATGCGTATTGCTGGTTCAACACTCACTGCCATCCAGTGATGCCGACACCTAGTGATCCTACACAACAGGTTAGAACTGCCTGTCTTTCTCGAGAGGAGTAGCTGGGGGTTTTGAACTGCTGACCTTTTGGTTAGCAACCCAAGTTGTTACCCCTGTGCCACCAGGGTTCCTTGCTGGTTAAATGGTTGGGAAGAATTCAGTGGAGGCTAAATTTATGTGAGACTGAGAAAAAATGGATTTAGCTATAAATAGTTGCCCTCTGCAAATTTAGTGCTCAATATTTAAGCTCTAATATAACTTCTATTCATGCAGTAGAGGCTGGCAAGTGATTGCCGATATCTTTAGAGAATCAGTGGCCAAATTTGAAGGAAAAGTTCTGTAGTATGAAAATAGTTTAACCTAACTAAAGCAGCTTGGAATTATGCAGCTACTCTGTAGATGTGGGTTGTGTTGTGCTGCTTTGAGAATGTTAGGCTGTTGCTAATTGTCATAACACACACTATCTTAAAGGAAACACAGTCTTCCATGGCTGACGTGAGAGGCTTGTACTCCTTGCTCAAGATGGTGTTTGTTTGAATAAAATCTGTAATCGATTAAGACAAAACCTGGGAACGTGCATAAGATTCCATTTTGAAGACTTCTGTTTTAATTTTGAGAGCATTCAATCTCTGTTTCCCTTTGCATGGCAGCAGGTTATTCTGATCATTAGCTGCAAAGAAAAGAATCATTATGACTCTTATTAATTAGATAGCCCATTTGAAGAGTGCACTACTTAAAAACAAGACAAAAAAAAAAGAAAACCCAAAACTATTGGTAGAACTAAGCAAAAACATTTGTGAAAATATGATTTTTACTCCAGATGGCATTATAAAATTGGGTTGTATTATTTTAAGGAACTCTATTTTGATTTGATCCTATGTGTACTTATGAATTAAATTGCATCAGTATTATAAATAATGAATGAAATGAATTCATTTTATACATATTTGTGCTTATAATGACCTTGAAATCAGAATCTTTACGTTATTTTAATTGGCTATTACAGAATGTGCTTCATCAAAGAATAAAGGGGATTTAAAAAGTGAAACTATTTTTTCCAGAGATCTGGGATAAGCCTAGAATTTTGGGAATTTTTATTTTTGATAAAATGAATAAAGGAACTAAGACCTGCTTTCCTACGGACCAGGGGATGGGTACTATATGGGTCGTTCAGTTTCTTTGGTGGCCTGGTTTGCACGTATGCACATGTTTGATGGGAGTTCTTGTCTTTGAATGTGAACCAGAGATAAGGGAAAGCCCCAGTCTGAATTCTTACAGCCTACAGGAAACTTAAAAAAAAAAGTCCCTCACACTTCCGACCAGAAGGAGCCCTGGTGGCCTAGGAGGTTAAATTCTGGGCTGCGAACCGAAAGCTCTACAGTCGGTCCACAGGAGAAGGAGAACACTGGTAAAGATTTGCCAGCTCAGAAGGATTACCAAGCCAGGCTTGCCTCCCTGTCACAGAGAGAGACAGGCTGAATGAAAGCGAAACGGAAAGTTTTACATTTGGTGGACTAAACAAGGAGGAAAGCCCGGGACTAGGCTGTACAAGGCAAGTTTCTCCTCAAAAGGGGGGTTTACAGTCTCATGTGTGTACACCAGGAAGCACATTGAGGGAATTATGAATATGTAATGCCTTTTCGGGGCATAGTCATGACCGTGCATTAAGGTGGGGCTATGATTCTTGACAGACCGAGTTCATCAGATCTCTTGAATGGGAGTTGGAGCTTCTGAGTAGGTCTGGTGACGTCGTTCCTATGACTTTTGGTCCCTTCATCAAAAATACTTTTGTTTCCTCAAGACTTGAGGCTGTGACTGCCCTTTCTGTACGTGTTCTCAGTGCCAGGTCTGGTCATAACTGGTAGTCATCTGCTGTGATGGAATACTTTCTCATGAGGAAAGGGCTCTCAAGAGACAAGTTATCAGCAAGGAAAATATGGGTTATTGTGGGGGTTATTTGATATGTATCAATATAATAATATATAATATAATTGATTATATAATATATGATAGTATACATATATATATAATGTATACAATAATATCATACATATTCCCACATTCTGTGGCTTCTTATATCCTAAGGGTAGGCTCCCTCAGCAAGCTATGGGATTTACATTACACAGGGCTAAGCAGGATGGTGATGGGGATTGATTTTGTTAATGTGTGGAGCAGTTACACTCTGCCCTATAGGATTTCCATAAGTAAGAATTGACTCGCTGGCAGTGGGCTTTTAATCAGGTGTAGACATTTTAAGGCATTAGGAAAAACTAAAATTAAAATTGGAAAAATAGACAAAATAACCTTTTTTATTGTTGAAAGAGAACTTAAACAAGCATTAATTCAACAATACTTATTAACCTAATTAATTATCTTTAAATGACCTAAAGATCTTAAAATTATAAGTATTTGTTATCAATCACCACATATGCATATGAAACTTGGACTTTAGATAAGGTAGACAAAATAATAATTGATGCATTTGAATTATTTTGCTGACAGAAAATATTGAAGTACCGTGAACTGCCAGAGTAACAAATCTGTCTTGGATGAAGTACAGCCAGAAAGGTCTTTAGAAGAGTCCTGGTGAGACTTCATCTCACATACTTTGGACACGTTATGAGGAGAGAGATCAATGCCCAGGAAAGGCCATCTGTTTGGTAAAGTAAAAGGGAAGAGAAAAAGAAGCCCCCTGAGGAGATAAATTGACACAGTGGCTCCATCAATGGGTCAAATCTAACAACTGTGAGGTTCGAAATGTTAGGACCACGAAATGTTAATGCTCACAGTGTATACGGCTACCATGAGTAATACCTGCCTCGGTGACACTTAGCAACAACGGGGTCTGATTTTTTAACATAAAAAGTATATAAAGAGCTAACACTTAATGCTTTGTTCATAATGCTGTTATGACTTTGTTGTTGTTAGGCGCCACCAAGTCCGTTTTGGCCTTGGAGGGCTTATGCACAACAAAATGAATCACTGCTCTGTTTGGACTATTCTCACAATTGTCCCCATGCTTTCGCCCATTGTGGCAGTCATGGTGTCGATCCATCTCCTTGAGGGTCTTCCTCTTTTTTCACTGTCCCTCTACTTTACCAAACACAGTGTCCTTCTCCAGAGACTGGTCTCTTGACACTGTCCAATGTGTGTAAGGTGAAGTCATTACATCCTTGGTTCCCAGGAGCACTCTAGCCAAACTTCTTTCAAGACAGATTGATTTGTTCCTCTAGAGGTCTATGGTCCTTTTAGTATACCTCTCCAGCCCCACAATTCAATGCATCGGTTCTTCTTCAGTCTCTCTTACTCAATATCCAACTTTCACATGCATCTGAGGCAATTAAAAATACCATGGCTTGATGTAGACATATTTTAGTCTTAGAAGTAACATCTTTGCTTTTCAATACTTTAAAGAGGTCTTAAGCAGCAGATTTACACAATGCATTGCATCTTTTAATTTCTTGACTATTGGTTCCATGAGAGTTGATTGTGGATTCAATCAAGATAACATCCTGGACAATTTCATTCTTTTCTCCATTATCACAATGTTACCTATTGGTCCAGTTATGAGGATTTGGTTTTCTTTATATTAGATGTAACCCATACTGAAGTTTGCAATACTTGATCTTCATCAGCAATTATGTCAAACAAAGTTGTTTTCTCTGCATATAGCTGGTTGTTTTTAAGCCTTATTTCAATCCTGATATGGAATTCTTCTTCATATAATTCAGCTTCTCTGATAACTTGCTCAGCAACAGATTTATTAAGTCTGATGAGAGGATACAACCCTGATACAAACGTTTCCTGATTCTAAACCATGCAGTATGCCTTTGTTCTGTATGTACAGCTGCCTCTTGATCCATGTGCAGCTACCACATGAGCACAATAAGTGGTCTGGAATTCCATTCTTCTCAGGGCTCTCCATAGTTGGTCATTTTCCCCATAACAAAATGCCTTGACATAGTCAATAAAACAGAAATAAACATCTTTCTGCTATTCTCTTCTTTCAGTCGCGATCCATCTGAAATCAACAATGATATTCTTTGCTACACATCCTAGGTTGGCATTCTGTTCAGTCACCTTTCTTTGGAGTGGTTACAAATATGGATCTCTTCCAGTCAGTTGTCCAAGTAGCTGTCCAAATTTCATGGCATTCATGAGTAAGCGCTTCCAGCGCTTCATCAGCTTGTTGAAACATTTCATTTGGTATTCCATGAATGCCTGTAGCTTTGTTTGCGGTTAATGCTTTCAGTGCAGCCTGAAGGGATTCCTTTAGCACCATTAGTTTGGTTCATGTGCTACTTCCTGAAATGGTGGAAAGTTGACTAGTCCTTTTTGATAAAATGACACTGTGTATTCTTTCCATCTTCTTTTGATATTATTACATTGCACATATATAATTTAGTTCTTTCATTAACCTTGTTACTATTATTTCCCAATGATAAAAATTGAGGCATGGGACTCAACATTGTTTGGCAATTATGTGATTTCAGAGGTTAGGAAGATGGGAATCATAGTTAAATATATGCTTTACTGGTAGCTTAATTTCTACATGCAGATGGTGACCGTTACTTTTTTCCCTAGAGAAAATCTTATGATGGAGCCCTCACCTTGTGAATCACCAGCTGACACTGTACAACACCTTGCATCTCAACTCGGATGTCAGCCTACAGACGAGCGAGTTGCTCTCCATCTTGATGAGAAGGACAAGCTGAGGCACTTCAGAGACTGCTTCTTCATCCCCAAAGTGCAGGATCTGCCTCCAAGTAAGAATGCTAGGAGTTGTTTTTTGTTTGTTTTGTTTCTGTTTTTAACAATATCTTTATTACTTTATTGGTATGTGCTACTCTATGTATTTATCATAAATCTTTGGATTGTTGTCTAACTGCATAAAAGAGTCATGACAAGCATGTCTAAGAAACAGTAGATCTCTGTTGCTGTTGGATCAAGCTGTCAGTTTACCTGAACCATAAATTCTCTGTGCTTCCTCTTATCCTCTGAATAAAATGCTGATGTTGTTAACTACTTCTCTGAACAGCAGAGTGACTGAGTGAAAAATAGGTGCATGCACTGGTGCTTTAAGCACTTAGAGCTCAATTGTGTTTCACTAGAATATTAGAGTGCAGTTGGTGCTTGAACTACATGGGTTTGAATTGGTGGGACCATTTAATAGCAGATTTCTCCCCTATTGGTATTGTTTCCAGCTTGTGTTGAGACTATTCACTTAAAATACCATGCAATGCTCATTCTATCTATAAGAGTAGTTCCTCTCTCTAGTTACTGCTCTTATAGAGATAACTCTCATGAGCAGATGATTATCATAACATGGTGTTTTAATTGGATCCTGCCAACACGTTTACTTATCACAGTAAACAGGAAAGAAAAATGCAAGTATAAGCAGACCCGTGAGCAGTTGAAATCAGTTTTGTTCAAGGGTCAATTGTAATGTAGTAGTGGATTTTTGACTGTGGGAACTCAGTGTTTCTAACCCCACCTGTTTTTAGTGGCAACCAGTGTATGAAAGCATAAGTACTGTTTGGGAAGTGGAGTATGTAAGGGAAGATATTATGTGAATAGACATCTATGCCTGTTGTGAGTAAAGATGGAGTTTATTTCATTATTAGATGTTATAGTGAAGTGAAGTGTCTTCATAAAGCTTTCTATGTCTCCAGAACTCTTGAGAAGTGCTTGGGTGGACTATGAAAATAGGACATGTGTAAAACTAATGTAGGGATTGGTAAGCTCTTGTTGATACTTCCATGGCTCTAAGGATGATCCATCTTCGAAGCAGACACACAGAGAAACACAAGGGCCATCAAAGAAGAGCTAGCAAAGCAGCAAATTCGAGATCTCATTGCCAGAGTCTGAGACCAGCGGTACCAGAGAGGCTAGTGGAAATGGAAATGGAGCGAAAGGGAAAGACTTCCTAGAAACTTTTGAAATGTTCATTAAGTAAACCTGATATAATACTAAAGCACATGTAGCATGAATCAAACGTTCTGGTAGAAGTTAATAATGATACTACCCACTGGTAGTTTTAGTCTGTTTTGAATTACTTATTTAAAAAAGTGTTCCTTTGGTTGTTCTGCCACTTTTGGCTTTGATATCATAATCCAAGAGGCACCAGCTCTATTCAATGCAGGTGGAAGCATAGACGGTGTTCTGTAGGACTATAAATCTTAAAAAATGAGTGACATACTCAGGTTTATCATGTTTAAATTCATTTAGTTTATGACAATGCACTAAAGGCACACAAGTAAGATCCCATAACATTCATATTTAAACCAGAGACTTGTAATTAACAATTGTAATTAAAATGTGTGCTGTCTTAATTAATGTTCTCGATTTTACTTCTGTGGGTCCTAATGTCTATTGACATGGCTACACAGAACTCACAGCCAAAATTCATGATTCATGGACTTTTAAGGATGGCAATAAATTGTAATGCCAGTAAGAAATGCTCAGGGTTGAATTGTTTCTCAGGACGTGTTACAAAGTTATGTTAAGTCTTCAAATAAATACCCAAAGGGCTACCACTCTGCTGCATGCTCAACCTGGTGGCATTTGGCTTCAGCTCTGTGGGTTAGTAAAGACAGCTCCCTGACTTAAGTGTCCAAAGGCACCCCACTCCAGTGTGGTTCTGCTCAAAGGTACTCAGCTGTACTTGTGTGGGTCAGCAAGTCCAATTTCCCCCAGTTAAGTGCTGCACAGAAATACCCTACTGCACAACCCGCCTCCTGCACAAGAGCACTCAACTCTGCTTGCCCCCTGGGTTGGGAAGTCCATCACACTCTTCCATGCTCTAGCTTCTGGTTCTGCTGCTCCTCCTCTGATAGTAGAGCTGTCTTAAGAATTCAGGAGGATCACTGCACAGAAATATTTTTAAAAAATCATTTTATTTGGGACTCATACAGCTCTTATCACAATCCATACATATATCCATTGTGTCAAGCTCATTTGTACATATGTTGCCATCATCATTTGAGCACTTGGTATCAGCTCCTCATTTATTTTCCTGCCCTCTCCCACCCTCCCTCCCTTATGAACCCTTGATAATTTATAACTTATTATTATTTTTTCATGTCTTACACTAACCAATGTCTCCCATCACCTGCTTTTCTGTTGTCTGTCCCCCTGGGAGGCGGTTATATGTAGATCATTGTGATCGATTCCCCCATTTGTCCCCCCACCTTTCCCTTACCCTCCTGGTATCACAATTCTCATTGTTGGTCCTGAGGGGCTTATCTGTCCGGGATTCCCTGTGTTTCCAGCTCTTATCTGTACCTGTGTACATGCTCTGTTCTAGCTGGATTTGTAAGGTAGAATTGGGGTCATGTTAGTGGGGGGTGGAGGAGGAAACATTACAGAACTAGAGGAAAGTTGTATGTTTCATCATTGCTATACTGCATCCTGACTGCTCATCTCTTCTTTGTGACCCTTCTGTAAGGGAATGGCCAATTGTCTAGATGGGCTTTGGGCCTCCACTCCACATTTCCCCTTATTCACATTGATATGATTTTTTTGTTCTGGGTCTTTGATGCCTGATACCTGATCCCATAGACATCTCATGATCATACAGGTTGGCGTGCTTCTTCCATGTGGGCTTGTTGCTTCTCAGCTAGATTGCTGCTTGTTGATCTTTAAGCCTTTAAGACCCCAGATGCTATATCTTTTGATAGCCAGGCACCATCAGCTTTCTTCATCACATTTGCTTATGCACCCATTTTGTCTTCAGCGATTGTGTTGGAAAAGTGAACATCATGGAATGCCAGGTTATTAGAAAAAAGTGTTATTGCATTGAGGGAATACTTGAGTAGAGGCCCAATGTCTTTCTGCAACCTCAATACTTAGCTTATAAATATATGTGCATAGATCTATTTTTCCTATTGTTATATATAAATATATTTGCATATGTGCATGCCTATATTTAGACCTCTATAAATGTTCTTTCCTCCTAGTTCTTTCTTCTATTTCCTTTTACTTTCTTCTTGTCCCACTATCATGATTGGCCTTCATTTGGTTTTAGTAATTCCTCTCAGTTACATTGCCCTTGATCAAGTCCTACCAGGCATCCTACTCCCTCTTTGCCATCAATTTTAGATCACTTGTTGTTCCCCAATCCCTGGGTTTGCTAACACCCACTTCCTTTCCCCTTGCCACCTCTTCTCTGTGTGCCCCCCGAAACCATTAGTCCCATTGTTTTCTCCTCAAGATGGTTTATTCCACCTATCTTATCTAGACAGACATGCAGAGACAAGAATAAGCACACAAAAAAGACAGAGCAAGCAATAAAAGAAAACAAAACAAAACAACAAGCCAACAAAAACAACAAGAAGAAACCACTGAAAAAAAAAAAAAAGCCTATAAATAGTCCCAGGTATGTTTGTTGACCTTTAGGTGTGTTTTCTGGTTGAGTCTGATGGGGTGTTGCCCCCTGGCCCCGAAATCTATTTTTGGTATTTCCCAGGGACTCATTGCTTTTATCCCCTTGCTGCTCTGTTGCCTGCCCTTAGCATCTTTCCCCAGTGATTTCACAGAAATCTTGAGTCCAGAGGTTTCGCTCCACTCCTGGCTCTTGCTGGTAATGAGATTCCTCCTTCTGCTTCTCAGAGGGCTCATTCTATGCACAGCTGATTGTCCCTCCTGGGTATTCTATTCACAATTACGGATAGGTCAATCCTATCAGTATTTTATTCCACCTTCTAAGCAGATCCACGCAAGGAAAGGGTATTTGTTGTGTTAGAAACTGAGTAGAAGAGCTACCTTAGAAACTTCACTGCCTTTCTCCAATGTTAGTTGTTAGTTTAATGGTTAGTGTCCCAGGCTTCAGACATGTCACAAGTTGTTTACTTGTCACAAATTGTTCACTGGAGGAAGGCTTGGCCATTGCTCAAACTTGGTCTGGTTCCCACATAACTGCGATTTTGTTTGTTTGCTTGTTTTACTTTATACTATTGCCTGAAACATCTGGAGAGAATCTCAGTTCAGGGTTCCAGTCTACAGAGAGACACTTTAAAGAAGGTCTCACTTTTACCTCCTTTCAGTGATTGAGCAGTAATTCAGAGCTATATGTAGAATTCTTATCTTGTCCTCCCAAAATAAGATCAGTTCCATCAGAGACTAGTTTGTTACACCTTCCATCCAGGGTTAGAGATTAGCTGAATGTAATATCTTCTATCCAAAGTTAGAAATTAGGGTTACTTATTCCAAGGTTAATTTGCAAAGATTAGCTGAACTATGTTTTGATTTATTATTGTTTGCAAGGTCAAGGTCAACCTAAAGTTTAATTGCCACATTCTTCACATTATTCTAGGTCTCTATGTTTAAATTCAGTAATTTTATAAATAAATATCAAATGAATTATTGGTTTTTAAAAACATTGTTTTTGTATCTCTATTATGAGTGCTTGTGCATTTCCCAGAGGATTTTTACTTTTAGACATTTAGAAATCAATAGATATTTAAACATTCATGTTTATCAGAATAAAGTCATTTAATTTCTAGATAGTCATGACAAGACATGATATTCTTTTTAGAATTGGAGCATTAGAAAATATTAGTTCAATGATAAGACCCCTAAGTTAGCTTATATGGAAAAAAGTCTGGCCATCACTTGAATTCACTGCTGGTCCCTCTGAGCCAGGATCTGTGGTCAGCAGTGGCAGGCAGAGCCTTCAAGTTCTCCATTTCTGGAGACAGTAAGAGAGCAAAAAATGAAATTCCTTGACTCTGCTTTCTTCTCAAAAGGATATTTTTTTAATTGTTTT